TCCACAGATTTGTCTAAGGCTAAGCCATGTGTAAAGATTGAGGAGTTTGTGTTTTCTTTCAAGATAGTGAAGAATCTATTCTATTAAAATAGAGACATTCTTTTTATCTACCGATACAAGTTGTCATTTAAATTTGGACCCTTCTAGAGTGTTACAAATAATACAAGTTATATAGTTGATTGAACCGTATTACTTAAATTAAACCGGCAGTTATTTATGGAATAGAGTTTTGGGTTTACTTTTGTTTTTATGACATTTATTTGTTTGGTTTTTGGGCTTAGTATTAAAGAAAAACTCCAAAAAACATTAAATAAACTTTCCACCTTAATGGATCAAAAATCAATTACTATTTTCATGCCCAAAAATATTTAATATTTTCAACAAAATAAAATTATCTATTATTAATCACTTATTTAAACATGTTAATATTTTTTAGCCCAAAAATATTTAATATTTTCAATAAAACAAAATTATCTATTATTAATCACTTATTTAAATCATGTGCTTTAAAGCATGTTAATATTTTTTATTTTAAATAACAATCACTCTATCTTGATAAATTTTAATGGTAACTTTTAAATAATTTATTGTTTTATTTTTCTTAAATAATTTACAGATTTTAAAAAAATGTAAAGCAAAACCAAAAACCAAATCTAAAAACTAAAATCCAAAACCAAAAGCTGAAAACGCAGGTTATATTTTTTTTTTTTTTTTTTATTTACAAAATAAACTATTTCAAAAATTTTAAAAAATTATTTTGTCATCTTTTCAATTTTAAATTACATGTTCGATTAATTGAGATTTGTTTGTTGGTAATATCAGTTCAAACTAACGGGTCTAAAAATTAAAAACCCAAACCAAAAGCTGAAAATCAAAAATAGAAACTTAAAAACTAAAAACCAAAAACCAAAATATAAAACAAAATCTAAAAATAAAAACTAATGAAAAACAACTATCACCACAAATTTTGGTAAACTAATTTTATACCAAAACATTCTTTAAATTAAGACAAAACCCAATTATATAAACTTTTAATCATAAAAAATTTCCAAACGCGGGTCAAAATCTAGTTTTTCTTATAATAGACTTTTTACAATTGATTAAAAAATTATTACGATAGAATCTAGTGGCAGCCCAAAAAAGTTTCGAGTCCCCCGGGACAATTTTTTTTGGGGCGATCTGATAAATATTTCGATTTCTGTAACGACTTGTTCATTTTATATTAGCATCGTTTACACTCAATTGTTTATGAGGGCCATTCCATATGTATTATGAATTTATGACACTTTTTGAACACTAATATCAAAAGTAAAAAAGTGAATTAAAATCCTAAACTACAACATATCAAATTATTAAAATATATTTTTGTCAGGAAGAATATTTATTACTATTCAGTAAAAAAGATACAATCAATTTATCAATAAAGAGAGAACAGAAGTTTTATTGAACTTTCTATAATACATTTAGTAAACTATTATTCTTATTACTATTGTTATTAATATTTATTCAAATTATTTTGGACCTTAGCAAAAATGAATATGATTACAATATTATTTTAAAAATCTATTTTATGTGTCGTATTCGAATATATATGTGACTACTATGTAAGAAGTTTAGTCAGTTAAATAAATAGAAAATTCTCTTCGATGATAGGAGCTAGGTTATCTTAAAACTATGAGTTAAAAAGATAAATAAATAAAAAAAGTTTATAAATTAAATATTAAAAAGAAAACCATGCTATAAAAGAAAAAAAGCNTAAAAATCTATTTTATGTGTCGTATTCGAATATATATGTGACTACTATGTAAGAAGTTTAGTCAGTTAAATAAATAGAAAATTCTCTTCGATGATAGGAGCTAGGTTATCTTAAAACTATGAGTTAAAAAGATAAATAAATAAAAAAAGTTTATAAATTAAATATTAAAAAGAAAACCATGCTATAAAAGAAAAAAAGCAACAACTTCTAGTTAAATGTTAAAATCGTCTCAAGTCCAACACGGGTCGCTAGGTCGCAAGCACCCTTAGTTCATCCATCACCCTTTCGACCTCTTGTACTCTGCGACATGTCTGCGAGCAAGTATAAAAAAAAACATAAATATTAAGAGACATTTTTTTACTTACAAAAAGCGAAATATAGACTTTGTTTTGTTTGGTAATACATGTTAAATAATATAAACTTTGTTCATTACCTGCACTGTGGAATAAGGCAGTTGCGATTAGTGCAATGGTTTGCATGGGCGCACACTCCCACCCAAATAATAGAACAATTCATACACTTTCCTGCAAGTTTTTTTGGGCAATCCTTGAGATGTGTTATGAGCTGTCTACCACGCATGCACGAACGACGGGTGCAAGGCTGAGAAGCTGTGGGCATACAAGTAGATATATGTGCTAGTGCCTCCAACCATATCTGCACATCTCAAAGAAAACAACATTCAACCTAAAGTAGAATCACTGAATAAAATAGAAAACCAGTTTTGGGTATACACAACACAAGTGAAACACTGACTTATTACTTCCAAACGTTTAAAGATAACTTTTTAAAAATAAGGTTTCAAATTGTTTAAAAACTAATAATTTTTTTAATAAATTATTTTCAGCCTCCGAAATCTCAGGACTGACATAAATACATATATGCACTTAAACTTATATAATCAATAGGAGACTTTTTTAGGACTTACGGTATAAGCTTCCTTGTGGCGTGGTCCGGATAAGTGAGATTCCAATGCACCGTAATTTTTTTGTTGTTCCAAGCATGTCTTGCAGATTGCATACCCGCAAGAATCCAAATCACAGGTTGCACATTCTTCTTCTTCTTCTTCGCAACAAGAACATGTAGTGATTCGAACTGACATCATCTTAATTTACCAAAGCAAACAAAAGTGATCAGCTTTATTTTGCCAACTTATATGTAATAATAAAAACACAATGTAACACATTGAAACATTCATGCACACCTCAAACCACGAATCTCCATCGCACTCACTCGAGGAACAAACATCTATGGTAAGGTAGTTACCATTCCATTCGTCATCACTGGACGAAGACATCTCCAAATTTCTGTGACATCAAAAAGTATTATTCTTCCAACAAAAAAAAAAAAAAAAGAAGTCCAAAAACAAAGATGGTAGATATAGCCTCGTTACTTGTTATTAATCGGTTAAAAGACTGGGGCTCTCTCTATGCAGTTTAGCAGAGGGATCGTGAGAAGATGGTTGTGCTTGGCAGGTAAGTAAGGTTCTAAATCATACTATATATATAACCCATTACAATTTCCGTTTATAACACTAACTTCCATTTCTTAAAAAAATATTTACAAATTCGTAATTTCCATTATTCCAACATTGTAGTATAATGTAAATGTGTTGAGTTGGTAAATTTACGCATATCTTAAAAAAAAAAGAATTTTCCCACTTCTATTTTCCTAAGCTTTTAACAAATACGGCACATTTCTTATATTATTGTTAAAGAAAGTAACATACTAACATATCATATTTTTGCTCAAAAAACAATATCATATTTTTATTATAGAATGATGAACTAAGCATAACATGCACTATGGATTATTGATTATAACTTATTAGATCACATGTGCTATTATTTATTTTTTGACAAATAAAAATATTATAACTTTTCCTCTTTAATGAATTAAAGTTATAAAAAAGAAAACTAACAAAAAGTATTAAAGCAAAAGAAGAAATGAATATTGAGTTTTTTTGGAAGTTCGGATCAACTGAAGAAGACACCGAAAATTATTTCCAAATTCGTATTTTCCATTATTCCGACGTGGTAGTAGTATAATGTAAATGTGTTGAATTGGTAAATTTACGCATATCTAAACCACAAAAGAAATTATTCCACTTCTATTTTCCCAAGATTTTGACAATTACCGCACCTTTCTTATACTTTTATAACTTTCCTCTTTAATTAAATTAAATTTACAAAAAAGAAAACTAACACAAAAAGTATTGAAGAAAAAAAAAAGGAATGAATACATGCAGTTATTTTTTGACAGTTTAGAACTGAAAAAAAAACTAGTATTAAATGGTTAGCACATTTAGATTGTGGTTTAGCTAGAACCGGTTTGTACCGGTTAGTATATGTATAAAAGTTAAATTACTTGCGTCTCCTTCGTTACGTAACAAAATTACAATGAACCAGAAGAAGCGTCACTCGATTGGATCCGATAGCTATTCCGGTGATTCAAGCTCCGCGTCGATGCACAGATTCTCTGGTTTCAATCCATACGCCTTTCTTCAGACAATCGATTCTGCGGAAAAACAACATCGATCGTTGGATTTGAAGTTGGATCTCACTGATCTGGTGATGTACTGATGTTGATGAAATTGCAAAATGCTAGCTCATGGTTAATTTATTACCAACTTATTATGTGGTTCAGCATTTTTTTAGGATGTTGGTTTCGTTTTGTTTTAGCAACAATTCATTTTTGAAGGATTTTCAGCGAGTTGTCTTTGTGATGTTTTGCTCACTGTTGCCTTAGAGTTTTTTCCTTTTGGGTTTAGTATTGTTTCAGACATACAACACATGGATCTTCAGAACCAAGAAGATGGGTTATTTTCTGGTTGTTTTGGTCTATTGAGTGAATTTTGATTATGTTCCTTGCTATCAATTTCAATATCGTCTAATGGATTACATTTTGAGGGGGTATTATTAAGTATGGTGATGTGGTTTACACATTTAGATTGTGGTTTAGTTAGAACCGGACAGTACATGATTTTGTATATAAAACACTTACCTTACAATGAACAGAAGCATTATTCACCTTTCTAAATCCTACTCAACATCATCTAATGAGAGCATTCGTTTCTGTTCAAATCTCAAATCTACTAAAGCAAGCATATATATAAAAGTAACAAGGTTCACAATTGTTCGACAGGATCTTACACTAAGACAAAATATATGAGAAAATATACTAAGTAGAAAATCTCCTAAAATGGTGGTTCTACACCACAGCCTCCTCGAGCATGTTCCAGACGCGATCAAACATTGTTCTCGTCATTCAAGAATCCCACTAGCTTTGGAATTTGAACATCATCACCCACACGAAGACGAGCAGCGAGTAAATCAAGCTCGCTCTTGACCTTTGGATCCAAGTAAGTGGTCGCTTGCAGCACCACGTCCCCTGTCGGAGAAACGAACGTACGCCTAAATGAGCTTCCAAGATCTCTTCCCTTGACGCGGATATAGGAGACACTGAAAATACAACAACAACAACAAAAAAACATTATTTTAGAAACAAGATGAAGAATGTACAAAGCACAAAGACAGTTAAGAATGTACCCCATATGGTATAGACCACCAACTGATAAAACCGGTTCATGGAACTCAACCACCAGAAACTTGTTGATGCAAATGAGAGGTTTCTCCAGACTAAACTTCTGGGCCCTCTGTGTTACAAAAGCACAATTTAGAATGTTAACCACAAAATATATAAGAAAAGAACATAAGAATCAAGAGCTCACTCACATTGTGAGTCATAGGAAACAAAGGAGTGGTAAATGTCGCACTGAAGACATCTTCTTCACTAACATCCCCAAAGATGAAGCGAACAAAACGTGCTCCATAGACGGGAGAGACAGGTAGGCTAGGATCTACAAAACAATCTAGTCAGTCACTAACCATATTCAAATAAACACATTAATGAAAGATCAAGAAGAAGACTTACAAGTTGGTTCTAGGTAGATTTTGATGCTACCAACAAGAGACAACTCGTTCAGTTTATACATGAGCCATTCAGTTCCCGACGAACCACTTCGTCCTCTGCTCATCCAAGGACCCGTCAGCATGAAGTCATGGACCGTGTTTGAGATGTTGTCATATCCTTCTTCTTCATGATGATGAGACGACGCCTTAACTGCCTCAGATAGGCAGTTAATCCGAGGAGCGTACTTGAGCGCTCTAACTAGCAACGCGCAATCAGGGTGCTGGTTCGTGAATCTGACTCCGGTGTTAGCGACATTCACCATCTCAAGAACCAAGTCTCTCATGAATGGGTGGCCAGTCACTACAAGAAAGTTCCCCAACAACACTCAAAAACGAAAGAATCATATCATATAACAAAACAGAAAGAAAGAAAACATACCGAACCGGCACCAGGAACGCGAGACGAGACAAGACCGCATGAGGTCACAAGGACCCAAAAGGGAAAAGATCTTGATGTCCAATTCTTCTATACCTGTGAACTGCATTGTTACGGAATCTGCAATTACACAAAGGAAAGGTTTAGGGATTATCCAAAGTAAAAGTAAACAGATGATGGTATAATATCAACTCTATAAACACTGGTTATATAATAATGATTAAAGTTGGAAGATATTACAAGAGATAAGCAACTATATAAACTTGACAATTGTCACCTAATAATAGTCAATCGAGCCAAAGCACATAAAAATATAAGTATAAGCTAAGCAAACAAGAGATAAGCAAGTATTAAAACTTCACAATGACCTGAGAAGCTGTGATGTTGAAACCCTCCTGAGAAGCTGAGATGTTAGACTCCCGGCTTTGTATCCTATGACACAAAGAAGAAAGAAAGTGTATAATCAGTTTCCATCATTATTCATCAACATAATCTCTATCATACTAAGACTAAAGAGACAGAGCTAAACAAAGCTTTCATGAACAACCCTTTAAAGAGACAGAGCTATACATAGCTTTCATCAACTATACACATCAACATACAAGCCAAATAAGAGCTTCACACACACGCAAATACTAAGTCATCAACATACAACACTCGTATCATTGAGACCAAAGAGACAGAGCTAAACAAAGCTTTCATCGACAAATCTAAACGAGCTAAACAAACCCTAGACACTCGATTTCGAATTTTCGACAAACCCTAGACACTCGATTTTCTCACCGATGCCAAGGAGAGGAAGAGATTGCTCGACGGAACACAGAGGATCTCGAGAGAGGAGGAGGATGAGTGACACAGAGGATCGCGAGATTGAGAAGAGTGTGAAAGCGGCGTCGAAGAGTGAGAATCCGCAGATCTGACGCGTAGAAGATAAGGATATTTTCGTAATTTACGTTTCATTTAACCTAAAAACTGGAAAAAAAAAAAAATACGCTCGGCTTGTTCGAACCCATGACCCATGAGATATGATTCTTCGCACTGACCACTACGACATGGGTAAATATTGTTGGAGTTTCACATATTTAATATATTAGTGCAGAGAAATGTATATATAATTCTATTAAATTCCCCCCCCCGATTAATCTCCATATAATCAACGAATAATTAATTAATCGCTAGGTTCTATCCGACCGCACGCGTAGCGCCTAGCAAGTTCTAGAACAAGACCCGACAGAAAATACCGAATCCGAATTCGAATTGTCAGATCTAGTTTCGGGTATTAGATACATCCGAATTGTCGACAGAAAATACCGAATCCGAATTAGGATTATGTTTTCAACCCAACAAGATCCGAAAGCATATGTACTACCAAATACTCAGTCCATCACAATAATATAAATGGGCGCTGGGCTAAAAAATAAAATTAGGACTCACTTTTTTTTTGTGCCACAAATTAGACCTCACTAATTTAGACAAAAATATAATTTTTGAATATTGAAAACCTTAAACATTATATTTTTGTCTGAATTAGTGAGTCCTAATTTTTAAATATTGAACCCTAGTTTGATCCAGAAAATTGAACCCTAATTTTATTTTTAGCTCAGAGCCCATTTTATATTATTATTGAACATATAAACCACACCATGGATAAAAAACTATTTTTTTCAATTCAAATCTTGTTTAATTCGAGTCTTGTTTAATCAGGTCTGGCTTTATGCGTGTGCCAACTCCCAAATTGTTGAAAATGATCCACAAATAAATGGACATATAAATCACACCATGGATACAAAACTAATATTTTCAACTTATAAACCAACAACATAGATACAAAACTCATTTATTGAGTATAAAACAACAATATAGGGGGGAGGTACAGAGTTTTAAGAGAATTGTATTAAAATGGCAAAGTCATTATTATTCAAACATAAATTTTAAAAATTCATTTAAAATTTACTGTTATTGGACTTGAAATTTCATAAAATATTCTGAATCCACTGTTATGGAAAATATTTAGTGTTTTGGATGTTTTTTAGTAAAAAAAAATTAAAACTCAAATCTCATGATTTTAGGTGATATTCTAGAGTATTTTAACAAAACTAACTTTAAATTCTGTAATTCATTGAAATCATCTAAAACCTTATTAAAAATCAAATCACTTCAAATTTTAGACTGAATACATCCACCTAATTTTCTGATCATTAATAAATGCTTCTATGTTAAAAAAGATACATAACTCACTTATTGAGTATAAAACAACAGTATAAGTAGAAAATTCATTTGTTTCAAAAAAGAAAAAAAGATACAAAATCTTAGATTCTCCACATATTTTCCTTTTTTTTTGCTAAATATTCTCTACATATTTCTCCTTATCATTGAAATGACGGACATCACAATACTTCTTCCTTACTCCAAAGCTCTTGCATGAGCTTGAATACAGTGAAGTCATAACATTCTGGCCATCATGAACGTCGCTTGTTTGGATCTTTAGTTAGTGATAGAAAAGAATTGTTGGAAGCTGTTGAAGTCTATTTGACCCAAAGTTAATGATAGATGTTTCTTTAGACCCATATATAACATTTATGTGAAATTAGTTGAAAGACACCTAATAACATGTGCTAGAAACATGGGTTTCAAATTCAACACTATTCTTAAGATAGAAAAAAGACATCAAATACCTCACTAGACAGCTTTATTATCCAAACAAACAAAAATCTTCTTGAGATTCACATGTCGCAACTATCGCTCTCATTCTCTTAATCCGAGGTAAAACTACAAAAATCTCAGCTTTTATTAAGTGCTCTCATTAGGTCATTTATTTCTTAGTAGTGAACTCACACGCACACACACTTCTTAAGTCAATGAAAGCTGAGGCGAACCAATACACATTGAAACCAAACAATGTCGTCACAGTTTTAAACTCGTTCACCTAAATTTCTGATATTTAATGAATGCTTATACTATCTTGTTTCAGAAAAGAATAGATGCAAAACTCTTTCTTTATTTTGAGAAAACATGGGTTTAACTAATGGTGGGCAAAAAAAAAAAAACGAACCGAACCTAGTCAAACCAAATTAACCGATCTAAACCAAACCAAAGTCTATTATCAAATAGTTTGGTTTAAATTTTTCCCAACCTGAACCAACCGAACTAAAACTAATCCGAACTGAGTTAAACGAAACCGAGAAACCAATATATATAGATTTTTATTGTTTGAGTTAAACATATTAACACTATACAATATACTAAAATCCTAAGACTAAAATTACTATTAACTTTATTAATGTTGTTGTTTTTTTTTAATTTTTCATTTACTTTAGTTAAATTTTATTAAAAATAATTTTCAATGGGTTCACCAATTCTGATTTATTTTTCATCCTCCTCAACAGAGGTAAATTCTTCACAACCATGCTTCCTTTCTATGAATGGAAATGATCTCTCAGTTTCTTTCTTGACTTTATGTTTCAGTTTACTCACCGGTTTGTCACTTTGTATATCAGTTTATACGGAATCAGAAGGTGCAATCGAGATTACTTTGGTTTTTCTTGTTGGTGAGAGTTGCTCTCCACATCAATTGTGACTATTTCTCACCTTTCCAACTCTGTCATGAATCGTGAAGGTTTTATCGACGCATTCAAGTTTTGTCTCACATTCAATGTCAACTTCGTCTTAAAACTTATCCTATTTAATTTCAGTTGTTATTTTAATTTGTGATTTGTCTTCAGAGAATGATTCATTACCTATATTTGTAATCCTTAAATTTGGGTTTTAATGAGAGTTGTGCTATATAACCAAAAATCATTAGTTTCAAAAAGGAAAAAAAGGTACCAAATTATTTATTAAGTTGTAACACATAACCAAAAAAATAGATACAAAATCCTAGATTCTGCACAAATTTCTTCAGAGCATTGAAATGAACAACATCACAATGCTTCTTCTTGGCGCCAAAGCCCGTGCCTGAGCTTGAGTGCAATGAAGCCTTAGCATTCTGGCCATCATGAATGGTTTTCGTAAGATTGCACTTATTAACTGAACCAAACATGTTGAACCGAACAGGACCAAAAAATTCAGGTTTTGGTACTGTTTGGTTCAGTTCAACAATTAAAAATATTTGGCTTTTGGTTCGGTTCATTTCAAATAATCGGTTAGTTAAATTTTCTTTAAATAAATTTTACTAAACAATATTAGTCTTAATCAAAATTCTGAACCGAAATAACCAAAAAATCCAAATTTTATTTAATTTAAACCGCAATTAACCGAAACATACAATTTCGGTTGAAAATATTGAAACCAAACTAACCGAATCGAAGTTTGCCCGATTCAAAATAACCAAAGAAACCGAACCCACTGGCCGAATCTTTTGTATTGAACAGCCATCGCTTGTCTGAAGCTTTATTGATAGAAAGGGATCGTTGGAGAACTGGTGAAATCTATATGATTTTAGTAGAGTGAATCAGACCCTGTTAGGCCTAATGGAGATCATTGTGGATGATGGCATGATGCTCGTAGTTCTTGGACACATCACAAGAGCAATCTTGACCAATGTTCTGAAATTACTCAACAAAGATCAGTTAGAGTCTTAGGACACATAGTAAAGCTGCTAACTGAAACATACTTCAAAGTTCAAAAGATCAGTTTCATCAACCAGTTCTATCACATGCTGGTTTATACCATATGGGGTACGTCTCACCACACTAACTTTCCTTGTGCTTTGTACAATCTTAATCTTGTTTCTAATAATAATTTGTGTTCTGTTTTGACTTTCAGTCTCGTATATTTGCGTCAGGGGAAGAGATCTTGGAAGCTCGTTTAGACCTATGTTTGTTTCTCCGAAGGACCCAAAAGGGAAAAGATCTTCAAGTCCAATTCTTCTATACCTGTGAACTCCATTGTTACAAATCTAGATCGACCTAAAGAGCAATTACACAAGGAAATGTTTAGGGATTATCCTAAGTAAAAGGAAACAGATGATTAACCCAACTACCCCTAAAAGCCAATGCTTCAACTCAAACAATAAATTTGAAACACATGATAAGTGTTTTAAGACCATAAAGAGACAAAGAGGTCACGAACATATACAAAAGAATGATAACAAACTCTGAAAGACCCAAAATCGAGAAAGCACTAGAGCTCCATCGCAACCAAGAATCTAGCTTATTGATAAGTTAGTTAAAACATGGAAAACAATGTACTGGAGAGGTGAGAGAGACGGGGAAGAAACAAAACAATGGCGAAGCGACTTGAGAGACGACTAATGAATGAAATAACGAGAATCAGATTTGAAAAATTGAAAGAGTGGGAAAATGGGAAGGTTAACAAATCTCTAGGGGTTATTTAGTTTCAGATATTAGGTACAAAATTATTTTGTTTCAAAAAAGGAAAAAAAGATACAAAATCTTAGATTTTCCACATATTTTCCTTTTTTTTTGCTAAATATTCTCTACATATTTCTCCTTAGCTTTGAAATGACCAATATCACAATACTTCTTCCTGACTCCAAAGCTCTTGCATGAGCTTAATACAATGAAGCCATAACATTTTGGCCATCATGAACGGTCTTTTGATTGAAAAGTCATCGTTTCTTTTTTTAACACAAACTTTCATTAACTTTACCCGCCAAAACCGCGAAATCACATTTTCCCGCCAAAACCACAAAATCATGTTTCCCGCCAAAATCGCAAAATCACGTTTTCCCGTCAAAACTGCAAAACCACGTTTTCCCGCCAAAACCGAAAAATCATGTTTTCCTGCCACTTAAAATCAGTTTAACATTATTTATATTAGGTGGATTCTACAAAAAGCCCATTTAAAATGATCCATTTTGGATTTGGACAAAGATGTTAGGTTGTTGGGTCAACCATTAACTCATATGACCCATTAAATTTAATGGGTAATGGGGTCAACCCAACCTATTTATTAAATGGGTTGGGTTGACCCATGACCCATTAATAGTCAACCCATTTGGGTTTTCGGTTGGGTTGACCATTTGACCCATTTTGACACCCCTAAACGTAATTAAGGCGCACACATGAACAGTCTTTCTTGTAAGACACGTGTTGTGTGGGAGAAGAATTGGAGAGGAAAAAAAAATCAGTCTCAAGTCGAGGATTGGTTCCTCTCCACGACGACGAAGCAAATCAACGGTGGCTTCTGAGCGAGCCTGGAGCTCCGGAGCAGATTACCCTATTGTATCTTCAGAGAAAGAGGCTTCTGATTCTCCGACCATGTAATGTAAGCTTTTTTTTTGTTTTGGTTCTTCCTCTGTTTGGTTCCATGTATCTTACACTGAGTCGTAGATGGTGGATTAAAACTGCAATTGTTTGAGATGGAACCTTGTAAAAATCGAAACTTTGAATTGCCTTTGATGGAAAGTTACTACTTTTACCTTCTGTAGACGAACATAAGTAAATAATCTTCAGGCAAAAACTATATTTTTGTCATGTAGTTGTAAAGTTGGTTCATTCTGAGTGACCAAACACTTTCTGTTAGCTTAGCTGATATAAAGATGAGTTGTCGTTTTGTATCTATCCTTTTTGTTTTTTGGCCATAGAAAGACAGAAACTTTATATTTCAGTTGTGGAAGATGAAGTTAGTTTTGCAAGAGGTCTTCGAGTTATAGGGTGTTTATTAGAGTATTCAACTTCATTATTTTTGCAGTGACACTGCTCTCTTCTTTGATGCCTTGGTTTGATTATGTTTGATAGTAATCAGTGTAAAATAAGCATAGATATGCAGGGTAATGCATCCATTTGTGGCATGTTATTGTCTATCAAAGAATACAAGAGACACGGTTTTTGTAATCACAAGACTATGTGCATTAAAGCTTCAAAGTATATCATTGTAGTTAAATAGATTTGTATTTCTGTTTCGATTTTCTCAATCCCATTTGTATCTCTTACAATCATGATTGTGTCATAAGCTGTGTTGAGTTAGCTTACCAAGGTACCTATTATTAATAAGCTGCTATTTGGGTTTGATGCAGGGTGGATGTTGTAGTCTTTGTCATCTGGGAGCTATAGTCTTCTTAGTATTTTCAGAGGTTTCCTTGTACTTCAAACAATTGCAACTCGCTTTCATTTTGGTATGTGTCACTTTGTTACTACTTGTTTGTATGAATCACTTTGTTACTATTTTTTTTTTCTAAGAACCCTTGACTAAAAGACTAGCATTGGAGCACAAAAATGTTGGTGTCTCTTAACTAAGTTCTTAACTAACATTTATTATTAAAAAATCTCATTAAGAGACCCTAATGGGATTGGTCTCTTAATGAGATTGTAGGGTTAATCATGCTCAAATAAACATTTCTATTTCTCTAACGACATGTTATTTTTATATAGCATCCTTTACACTCAATTGTTTATGAGGACCATATGTATTATGAATTTATGAGACACTTTTTAGAATACTAATATCAAAAGTACAAAACAGAACTAAAATCCTAATTTACAACATAAAATCCTAATTTAGGGGTAATTGTGTTAATCATCTCCTTTTTATTTAGGTAGATCAAGATTGGTAACAATGGAGTTCACATGCATAGAAGAATTGGACTTGAAGATCTTTTCCCTTTTGGGTCCTTGTGATCTCATGCGGTCTTGTGTTGTCTCACGTTCCTGGTTCCGGTTCGGTAGGTTTTCTTTCTTTCTATTTGTTATATGATATGTTTCTTCATTTCTGATTATTGTTGGAAACTTCTTGCAGTGACTAGCTACCCGTTCATGAGAGACTTAGCGCTACAGATGGTGAATGTAGCTAACACCCGAGTCAGTTTCACCAACCAGCACCCTGACTACGCATTGCTAGTTAGAGCACTCAAGTATGCTCCTAGGATTAACTGCCTCTCTGAGGCAGTTAAGGCATCTTCTCATCATCATCATGACGTATATGACAACATCTCAAACACCATCCATGACTTTATGCTGGCGGGTCCTTGGATGAGCAGAGGACGAACTGATCCATCGGGAACAGAGTGGCTCATGTATAAACTGACTGAGTTGTCTCTCGTTGGTAGCATCAGAATCTACCTAGAACCATCTTGTAAGTCTCCTTTTATTTAAGTGTTTATTGAATATGGTTTTGACTGATACTAAGATTTGTTTTGTAGATCCTAGTCTACATGTCTCTCCAGTCTACGGAGCTCGTGCTGTTCGCTTCATCTTTGGAGATGTTAGTGAAGAAGATGTCTTCAGTGCCACTTTTACTACACCGTTGTTTCCAATGACTCAGAACGTGAGTGAGCTCTTTGATATATTCTTATGTTGTTTATATATTTTCTTATCTGGTTCAAATTCTAACTTAGGCTTTTGTAACACAGAGGTGCCAGAAGTTTAGTCTGGAGAAACCTCTTATTTGCATCAACAAGTTTCTGGTTGTGGAGTTTCATCAACCAGTTCTATCACTTGGTGGTCTATACCGTATGGGGTACGTCTCACCACACTAAAACTTTCCTTGTGCTCTGTACAATCTTAATCTCGTTTCTAATAATAATTTGTGTTTTGTTTTGACTTTCAGGGTCTCGTATATCCGTGTCAAGGGAAGAGATCTTGGAAGCTCGTTTAGACCTACGTTTGTTTCTCCCACAGGGGACGTGGTGCTGCAAGCGACCACTTACTTGGACCCAAAGGTCAAAGCGAGCTTGATATTCTTGCTGCTCGTCTTCGTGTGGGTGATGATGTTCAAATTCCTAAGCTAGTGGGATTCTTGAACAATGAGTGATCGAGGTTGGAACATACTCTAAGGCCGAGGAGGCTGTGGTCTGTGTAGACCACCATTTTAGGAGTTTCTGGAGTCTAACTCAAGATTTTCTATTTAGTAGCTTTTCTCATATGTTTGTTTGTTTTAGTGTAAGATCCTGTCTAACAATTCTAAACCTTGTTACTTTTAGATTAATGCACCAAATTTTAGATCCTGTCTATCTGAAACAAAGATATGTTTGTTTTAGTATATTTGAGATTTGAACAGAAACGAAAACCTCTTGTGAGGGAGATGATGAGGAGAGGATTTAGAAAGGTGAATAATGCTTCTGTTCATTGTAAAGTAAGGAGTTACAAGTGTTTACATATCCAAAAGCCTGAGGCAAGCTCTGCTTCAATAGTAGTATCTCAAGGTCAGGAAAATCTTGGTTCTGTGAATTTGAATAGTGGTATGCAGAAATCTTTGTTCTGCTCCGAGATTCTTGAAGGCTTATGAGTCATTCATCAATAGACCCAAGGTAGTTCAATCTCACCGGTCTATACCAGCAAACAAATATCTATCTGTTATATATATAAATATAATGGTTCCATTCTCTTCAAACGCATTACAAGATGTGGAATCTAGTTGGCAGTACAAGAAGAGACAACTAAACCAAATAAGATATACCGCTATTCTCAGACATCTACTGAGGCAGAGTCTATCAAAGCTCTTGAAGTCCCAGAAAGTACCAAAAGGAAACTCTCAGGTAACAGTGAACAAGAACATCAAGTGTTGCATGTCAAGAGAGAACCAACATCTTTAAAAAAATGCTGAACGAATGTAGCATCTTCAGAGGCACATAAGTTGATAAATGAACCATGAGTAGGAGAAGCTAGCATTTGCAATCCTCTCAA